GCCTCACTCACCCTCAGGTGTTGTGACTGCAGCATCAGTTCTGGCAGGATGTGCTGCTTTTAAAACAGCTTTATTCCTACTCATTGCCAAGAAATGACAATTGAACAATTAAGGCACAAAGCCGAGAGGGTTTAGCAAATAATGAACTGTTTTTAATTTGCCTCATTAAGCTGCCATTAACTACTTAAAGCCATCTGCTTAAAAATAATTTACACATCTTAAACTTGCTCTAGAGAGCAGGTAGGCCTTCATTAGAGCAGGTTTCGTTATTAATGTTATCTTTAGGGGGCTTTCAGTTGTTGTGGAAAGTATTTTATTGCTCACTGAACCAAACTTCCCCTATAAACAAAAGGAGGTGGCACATGCTTGTTACTTGCAGTCTGCTGCCATAACCATATTCTTTGGAACCACTGCCATTCATTTAGAAACTGGCTTGCTTTGGAGGAAAATATTTACAGCCAGTAGGTAGATCTGGGTACAAGAAAGGAGAATGAGCTATGTGAATGCCTAGTTATCTGTATTATCTACTACTATCCCCCAAAAAATTATTCCTGGAGAGGAAGAACAGCCCAATCCATCACAGTGCCTCAGCTGTAATTGAGGAGGGGGAACCCTGCTGCTGAGGAAAAGCAAGTTTATTTGTCTCCCCGGATTTGTAAAGAAACAAGTTCACTTACAGAGAACAAATCACCAGAGAGCCACAGACTCTCCTCCAGTCTCAAGCTGGGATTCATTCTCATTTCAGTGAGATAGCCTGTATACTCCTTCCTGACGCGCTGCGTTTCTGTGGTTTGCTGTGAAATAACTGTCCTGACTCTCATCAGAGGAGGCAGTTACAGCAGTGAGCTAATGGACTGCTGCTATGAATAAAATCACTGGGAGTGAAACTAGCTTTGGAAATACTAGGTAATGGTGGTATGAGAATTAAAAAGAAGGTCCTCCACTCATTCTGTGGGAAAGAGGTTGTAGTGATTTTTGGAATATTAGTGGAAACACAGTATTTCACTAAATATAGATCTTCTATCAATAAGTGGAAAAATTCACTAAAATATTGCTATGAAATGCAGTAGTTTTTTTTTTCCTGTTGTGTGCTGTTTATTAAGAAGAAAAATGCCAATATTTAACAGGATGTAAATCTCTTGAAGTATCTGAGCAAAGAAGTTGCTATAAACTGTAAATGTCTTTGTCTTTCTACTAAGTTTTTATTTCACTCTTTCTGGCAAGGAGGAAGCCTGTGAACAGACTGACTGCACAGGTTTTCACACAACAGTGTATGACAAACCAGAAAAAATACAGTGCTTTTTGTAATTGCTTTTGGTTGCAGTAGTTGAACGTATTTTTTGCAACTGCAGCTACTATGTCTTATGATTTAAAATAAGATTTCCCAAGGAATCCTTGACTGGAATCCTTTTATGTTTGCCCAGTCATCTGGGCCTACATTTGAAAAAATGGGGGATGAAAAAGAAAAATCTTAATTTGTCTTGCTTGGAAGGAATGAGTGTTCTAAACATGTATATGTGTCATTTAACAGAATATGGTTTTTGCCATATTTGATGTGCTCTCATGCTTCTGTTTTCTTTACTGTATTTGTCTTTATCTGTAAAAAATTTACTTCAGGGTTTCACTGTGAAATACTTCTTCACAGTAGAAATCTTTGAATGGCACAGAGCTAACTAAATAGCTCTTGTATATCAAATATGTGAAAATTAAATCAGTTTTAAAATTTGCAAAATAATTACAAGTATTTTAAACATAATACTTACCTTCACAGCAGTCTACTGAAGAGCACCCAGTGCCAAGATGCTATTGTAAACTCTTATTCAGATCACGATTTGCTCTTTTTAGTACTCGGGTTTGACGTGCAAGGTTAGGGGTGATAGAAAAACTTCAAAATATTTTACATGCAAAACATTTCTGTGAGCAAGACATTTTGAGCTGAGCTGAATTAAATCTGTGATCCTGTCTGAGCTGTAGCTCAAATAGCAGGAGAGAATGATAACCACTGTCGACCTAATGATAAGTTTGGGTAGGGAGCTTTGTTTAAAAGACAGAATGGTGTGCAATGACCCAAGGCTATGGTTTTCACCAGCTATGTATTTGCTAAGGACCCTTGAAGAGTATTTCTTTAGCATTTCCACTCTAGGTGAGAGCAAGTTGTCAGAGTCCTCTAATCATCACAAAGTGTTTTCATTTTCAGTCATTTCTAGTTATAGTCTTTACACAAGATGTAGCAAATTCTGCTTCAGCAACACCTTCTGACAATAGCAGAGGACCTGAAGATGTTGCCAGGGGTGCAGTCAATGCAGCTGTAAAAGTTGCAAAATTTGCTGGGCTTAAACTTCAGTTCAGCTGCTGTTGTGGCCTCCTTTTCACTCCTACCTTCTGATATTTGCAAATGGAGGAGGTCAGAGAAATAAAGAGAGCTGTGTCTCAATGCAGTCAACTCTGTTGGAATACTGGTTCTCTTCTGTATGAAACATCTGTCTGTGATGTCGTATCATTTGTGACCAGCAAATATCTCACCTCACCTTTGCTGCTGCTGAAGAGAAGGAACAGAATCAATGTGCCCTTTCTGACAGGTCTACCCTCAGGTCCATCTGTGAAGGGCATCAGCTGGGGAATGGCGGAGCCCCCTGTTTAATGAGAGAGAAGCCTTGTAAACTCCTAGTAGTTCAGAGTTGGAGTGAGGTGTGTGCAAACACTACTGCTGGGTGGTGTGGAGCCCTCAGAAGCCCTTAGCCTTACTGTGCTTGCTTCTCACTTGCTGAGTGTAAGGAGGATCTGTATCCGAGAGGCTTGTGCAGCTCTGTTCTCTGAATGAATGAAGAAGATGCAAAAAAGGGTGTCTAGAGGATGGCTCTGAGTCTTGTGTGTCCTGATGCTACTGGCTCCTGCCTTCCCTGTACTTTCATCTAAGACGAGAAGCAATGTGGAGGAGGAGAAGAGCTGCTGACAGGAGAGAAAGGCAGCTCTCAGATGACTGCCTGAAGAACTAGACATGAAATGTCTGATAATTGACTTTGGAAACTCACCTGGAATGTGAGTTTCTCTAGGAAATTAACCTTTTTCACATCTCTTCCTGCTCTTTCTTGCCCTGAATGTAGCTGAAGCTGCTATAAGATGAATGCTGCTGAGGGATAATCAGCAACACTGTCCTGTTGGGGGACTGAGTGCATCTGTGCAAGAAATCTGGCGGAGGAGCAGTGCTGATTCAAGTAACAGAGCTCAGCTGGGGAGGAGACAGCAGCTTAACAGAAGTAGTTTTAAACCATATCTCTTGTGAAGACAGTCCCTGAGTAGTGCTGACATGAGGTGTAACTTTGAAGTCTTGGGATGGCTTGGTTTTGGTTTTATTTTATTTGAAAACCATAGACCCCTAGCTCTTGTGTCTACATGAGAATGCAGTTGTGCATTGAGGGAGTAATTTCTAGCCCTTGTATTTGTGGAAGAAAGTAACTCGTGACCTGAAAGCACTTGTACAGCTCAGAGCTTGAAAGCTTATGAAAACACGTTGTTTGTAGTTGAAGCGCTGAGTAGCTGGGTGTGAAAAGACTGTCTAGAAAACACTGAGATATAAGAGAAGGTCATGAAGTAATTTGCTCCAAACTCACAATCTGAAACCAAATGGGAAAGCTACAGGCTTCCCACTTGCTCCTTTGTTTAGAAATCCATTGGTAAGTAACAGAGGGGTCAAGAGGCAGCTAGAAGCATCTACCAGCTCTAACCTCCTACTCACATCTTCAGAGAGAAGTAGACATTGCTGGGGCAGGATGGTGCTTGGAGGAAGAAGGAAAAGAAGGAGAGCTCCAACCTCTCTTTTACACCTTTATTCCAGAAAGACTGTGAATAATACCACTTTTTTGAGGTACTTTGGAAAGGGAAGTATGATATCTTTTCTTTTTCTCTCCCAGTAAAAGGGGAGTGGAATTACTGTAACAGCCGTGCTTAGGCATTGTGATAAAGTTGACCTTAAATATTTTCTTTGCCTAGCTTCAGCAGTCTTAAGACTTTTGCCAGTGTTTTAGGGGCTGTAACATTGGGAAAGAAAAGGTTATGTGCTGTTCTGGTTGGAGTAATTTATTAAGTCTCAGTAGAGTGCAGTGCCTTTTGAATGAAGGGTGTACTAAAGGAGTGCTTCCTGTGGTTGGAACAAGAACTCCACGATGGAGTCAGGCCATTAGTAGACTTTTTGTGGGGATGTATGATGGATCACCCAAAGAAAAACTTGGGTGTTTCTCATGTTGTCTGTCAGCACAGAATACTAATGGCACTACTCTGAAAGGCAACCTCTGCAGGGAAATCAAGGTGACAAAAAAGAAACCTGTGTGTTAGGAGGTTCAGATTATGCAGTGGTGGATTCTAATAGTCAAGCAGCTTTATCCTGTAGCTCGTGGCACAGCTCTGCGTAGCTGCTCAGGCTTGGTGGAACAACAGGGCTTGTGTTGTACGCTGCAAAGGAAACTTGCCTCCCTTTTGACTGAAAGAATTTGAATAAGAACATTAACTTTGACCAATTAATTAGTCTGATAAGCCACTACTCTGTTGAAATTAAAAATCTCTTAGCAAAATTAGATTCCGTATAGTTCGTGGCAGTTTGTAGCCAGCCACATGACCTGGTTGTGTTCTAGATACAGAGATCTTAGAGGTTTTTTTATATGCACATTTTTAATGTGTATTAAAAAAGAAAACTTTGAAAGGAAGTCCAAACCCTAGGAGCTAAACAGATAGGATCTGTGGAATGAAGTAAAAACATAGTTTAAGTTATATCTTTGTTATGAGTGGCAGCCTGTGCAGAATGACAAATAATGAAGACATACAGCTTCCACACCTGTGAAGTAAGTTTGGAGGGGACAGCAGCTTTGTCCTGCTAAACAGGCTTAAAGTATCAGTAATTCTACAATGGTAGACCTTAAAAATGTAAGTTTATATTTTGAATAAATTTAGGGTGCTGTTACGTAACAACTTCAACTTTTTTTTCTTTCCCTCTTTCCCTCCTACAGATCACACATCCGTGGGCGGGCTGGGAGACAGTTTTTATGAATATTTATTGAAAGCCTGGCTTATGTCAGACAAGATGGACACGGAGGCAAGGAAAATGTACGACGATGCAATTGAGGTGATTATAATTCATTGAGTTTTCCAATACAGTGGAACTTAAAAAACATCTTTAATAATTAAAAGAAAAAAAATTCAAAACAAAACCCAAAACACAGGACTTGTTTTGATTATGTAAGCTTTAAGAAATCAAGTGATGAATAATACTTGCTTCACGCTGAGTAGTTTAAAAAGTATTTTGTGGAATACATCTGATGCAGATTATTGTGCTAAAAATAATCAGCTTGTCCAAAATGGTATAATGTAAATCCCAAGCTGTAGTTTATTAGAAGGAGATCTAACAATTCTAAGATGTGTGCAGAATGACTGAATCACTTTTCTGTAGTGTTCAGAATTATTCTAGGAGTTGAAGTGCTGAATTGTTTTGTTCTTTAAATAATTTTCTTAAACATTTAGATGTTATATTCCATATTTGTCTTGTAAAATGTAGTTCATACCTATTCCTTGCTCTGTAGTTCTTTTGTGATATGGTTTTGCTCCCTTTCACAGATCAAGTTGTGCTTACACAAGCAGGGCAGTACTGCAGGGTGGTTCAGTGGGATTTAGGGTGGGGCCCTTTTTGTGGTGGCTCTGAGCTTTCCCAGCTCTTACTTTTTTAGTTTCCCCATACACAGGCATCTTCTTTCATCAGGCTCATCTGTGCTACAGTTAAGACACATAGAGAGTAACCAAGCTAAATTTTGGCAAGTTAGCTGTGGTACCAACAGCAGCAGGTGCTTAACTTGTTCTGTGCTCTGTGCATGCCATGTTTCTTTCAACACAAGTTTTTAAAGCTTAGTTTTAGTGCAGTCTCCTGGAGCAAAATGTCTGTTCTTGGAATTCTCAAAATTCACATTTTAAAATATATAGAGTGAAAGGTCTAGTCCAAAATTGCTTTGAAGCTGTAATGTGTCTTATTCCTGACCTGAATTTTATTACATTTGGCTTTCAGCTGCTTGAACTTTTTCCTTCCCTACATTGTTTTAATGGGTTATGTGCTGGTTACTAACAAAGGTATAACAGGCATTCTCTCCTGAAGGAGAACTGCATTACTTTCTTTAGTCTCACAATATCAAACAGACTTTGAATTATTTCTTCAGCTTCTTTAAAGTACTTTCCAGTGTCTTCAGTATGGAGACAAGAATGTAATGGTTCTCCTAATATGTCATCACCTGATTTCTGCTCAGTATTCTCCTCTTCATCTAGCCAAGAGCTGTGTTTGCACTCTTAACCTTTGCCTCACGCTGTCATCCACTTTCCAGTTGGTTTTACTGTGAAGTTGGTTGTAGTCTTTTTGATTTACTGCTTTCCTACTACAGTGATTTACATTCCTGATTCCTCTGTGTGACCTTATACTTATCTCTATTAAAACACAATTGTTCAGGCAAAACCTGTTTTGTCACCTGTTCTGAATAATTTTACAGGACTGACTTTTTCTTTATCACTATCTATAACTTCATCAATTTTTATGTCATCTGCAAATTTTTTTTAGCATTTGTTTCTTGCAGATCATTGGTAGAAATGCTGCCTAGCATTGAATAAAAGTATCTTTGCAGAATCTTCATGGCATGAGGATTTTCCACATTTTTTTGTTTTACTTTGAGCTGTTCTAGCAAGTCAAATTTTAATCCACTTCATATGTGCTGCCCTGAATTTGTTTAGGACTAATGTTTTGTACAATACCAAGGAAATTCCAGAAATTTGTAGTATTCCTAGTATCAGGATGCACTTGTCAATCAAACAGTTTTGAAACCACATCATTCATTTTATATGATTGTTCTATTAGCCTTTTAAAATACTGTTAAAGTATCAGCTACTTCCCAGTCCTTTTGAACTTCCTTAGCTTTCTGGGATTTGTTAAAGTCAACATTAGTAGTTCAAAACATTAGTTGAGTACTTTTAATAGTTTAAAACACATTTTTAACCTGTGGGTTTAAAAATGTTTAACACTTGATGGTTAACATCCACTGTGGTTACTGTTGAAGTATTTTATTCTGACTCCTAAACTGTGGGCACTTTAGAGGAAGTAAACTTTCCCTTTCAGTCCTTATCGCTGTAAGCCCAGCCTTGCAGACATTTTCTATGGGCAAATTTGTGTCTCTGAATGGAGACACAGCAAGGGAAATTTGGGACCAGATGGAACCACACTGTGAGAGAAAGAGCTGAGCTGCTCCTTCTTTGTGTGTAATATGACCCACAGCACAAGCATCAGGTGGTTTCCTCTTCGGCTTTCTTTCGGCTAAACCCACCCATGTATATTTGAATCTGCATGAACCATACTGATTTATGCATTGTGGAATATCCTTCTGGTTCAGGGTTTGTGTTTATCTCAGGTCCTGCTTGGCACTGAAATATCTGGACAAAGAATCAGAGAGTAGGATTTGGTTTATGTAATTGCAATTTGCATTTTTGTTCAAAATCTTAGAATATTTTTAAAAGCCCGCTCCCTTACTATTCTGTTGCTGTTGCTCATAATATAGGTCTTCCTCCATAGCTGATACTTCTTACTCTTTGTTTTTCAAAACTTGAAGCAAAAGCTCTTTGCATTATTTATGCAAGCAGAAGGAGAAGGGTGTAAAATACTTTCTTCCCACTCATAGTACGGAGTTGGAAATGTTCTCAGCATCCACCATTCTAAAAGAAGGTCCCTGTCCATCCACACTTCACTCCCTTAGCTTATTACGGGGGGGGAGTGGAAAATAGACAACCATACCCTCACTCAAATCTTGCAGTAGGCAGTGATATCCCATTTCTTGGAGGTATTACAAAGAAGAAAGATGACAGCATCTGTTCTTCAGATGTCATGACTTCTAATACATTGCATATGAAGCCTTACCCACATACTTCGTAACAAGAGAACAAACAGTTTCTGTATCTGTACCCTCTCTGTGCTATATAACATTTGTGCAGTCTTCTACTGTGAAGGACATTTCTTTTCAGTGGCCTAGTATGTAGATTCACAGCTGTGATAAAAGCTGAAATTCTGAAACTTGTTAAGAATTTTTTGTGGTGATAAATATTGAGGATGTGCCTCTTAACTTTGCTTTCAGCATTGCCATGTGGACTTCCCAGCTAGTCTGGTTTAAAATGTCTTTTCTCCTTCTCACATTGGCCAGAGGATAAGATGCTTCCTTTTGATCTGTTACCTTGAGTAGCCTAATCTGTTAGGTTCACGAATTTGATCCTTGCTCTTTCTTATTGCACAGTATTAGATAGCTAAAAGGATTCAGCAGTATGTTTGACTATCACAATATAGCAAGTACTGCTGCAAGGCAGCTCAGAAAATGCTATTTTTTGTAACCATAGAAAATCACAGAAAGCATGAACATCAGATAGAGAACATTCTGTTTTTGCATGTCAGTCTGTTTCAGGCATTTCACAGACTAAGGAAGCTTCTGCCATCAGGTAGTCTCTTAGTTGATGTGAACTAAGTCTTTTCTTTGGGAGCTTAAGTATACGTGTCCACTCTAGTGCGTGTAAACTCCTTGTGGTCCAGCTGGATGTCATTGCTTTACAGAACCTGCTGGAGAGCAGTGTGAACCGAGGCATCCAGCCCATTATACAAATGTCACACCTGTCCCAGCCTGCTCAAGCTTTTCTTGTCCACTAGGCAGTGCTCCCAGCAATCCCCAGCTGTTCCTTGTTAATCACTGTAAATATTAATTGTCCTTTTTATATGGTTAGCAAGCAATGGATTGTGAAATGATATTTTGAGAGGGTTGCATTTATTTTCTTTTTGGGGAGTCATCCTTTTTGACTCTTAGGATGTAAATTATTAAATAGCTGACAGAACTTGATTTTCAGTTTTCAAAACTACCCCTTATACGAGACAGTGATGTTCAGGTTCAGGATATGTGTCCTCTGTTCAGAAGAGAGGCATGTTGTACCTAGATGATGTTCTTCAGTCAAACCCTGAAAGAAAATCTTGAGTGAAGGAGCAGCTCATGAAGAAGTGTATAAATCTGGCCTTTTCTGGCTCTCCTGGTGCAAACCACTGCAATTTTGTCCCCCTGGAAATGCTCCTGCAACCATGTACTCCTCAACAGTTATGAAACTACAAAAAGATACAATTCAAAAGGGAATTTCACACAACATTTGGGAAAAAAATGTTTTCCTCCAGGAAATAAATAATCCAGACCCTTCTAAGCCTTCTTGCTCTTCACAGTAAAAGTGGCTTTCCTCTAAAAAGGAATCCTCCACTTCTATGTACCGTATCGTCAAAAAAACCCTAGAATCATCATAACATCAGTTTTGTCACAGTCTAGGATAATTGACTTAACAGAGCTAATGCTGCAGATCTTAGTATCATCAGCGGCAGAATTTCAGCAGATCAAATATTTCCTATACCAGTACTTTCTGAAGAAATGGATCTTATCCAGTTAAGCACATCAGGCTCCCTAGCAGCAGAAGCCATGGTATTGTGCCAGTCCTCAATGCCAATGTTCACAATTGTTAGCCAACCACTCTGGCGGCTGTCAGAGACTTATTTGTTTCTGCCTTGTTAGGTATTTCTGTGTTTTTTCTTGCTGGATCCTGCCATAAGCACGAATAACTTCAGAACTGTGGTGTTGGAGAAGAAATTAACCCAACAGGAATGCAGAATTCTCTTCCATTACCTTCAGAATGCACAGGCTCAGGACAGTGGAGAAACGTCACCATCCAAATGATGGCTCAGTCCACAGTGCAAATAAGGGACAGAGCCCTACTGTTGATAATGCAGTCTTCTCCCTGTAATCCACTGTGTTGGTTTTTACCTAGTACATTCACCTTGGCCACAGGGGGACTGCCAAATCTTTACTGGCTGCATTGCTAAAGTGTAGCTTCATATCACTATAACCATTCAGAGAAGTTGCTGCAAGCACTGCGGCATCTCAAGTCAAGAACATATTCAGAAAGCCATATAGAAACACATACGTATTCTGAACACAACTATTTCAGGTTACTGTTTATATTATCATCTTCCCCAGATGAGGCTCCTAATACTACAAATTCTACCTTTAACTAATTTCAATAATTTTTTTCAGAAAAATTTTTTGACAAAAATTTGGAAGGCTGTCAGATGTTATTTCAGTAGCTCGATTGAGGGCTTTCGTGTTATCGAATATTGCTGTGTTCAGTACAGCTGCTTTAATAGTCCTGTATCACTTAAGCATCAGCTTAAAAAAAAAAAGTTTAAATACCCACTACAGTCACAGAAGAGCTTGAAACTTTTCATTTGCTCATTTTGTTGAAAAGAAGAGTCAGTCACACTTTTTTTTATTTAGAGGGAAAAGCTATTTCACTGTTCATTTTGAAACCTGAACTGCAAGTTGCAAGGTGATTATCCTACATATTTATTGCTTGAGAAATCTGTATTGTAGCTAACTGCATGGTTTGCACTGTGTAGATAGTAAGGAGACAGCTGTCTCAGACATGACCTTCACATCCTCAATAATTACTTTAGTTATATGCAGGATCCTCTGCCTGTGTGTTCTCAGTATATCTAGTTTTAGGGCAAAATGCAGTTGTGGACATTTTGGGGTGTAATTTGCTGTAGGCAACAGAAAAGTAATGGAGAAGGGATAGTAATTCACTTCTGTAATAGATCTTATGGATTGCAAGGAGAGTAGTAAATGCCTTTTTAATGGCTCTTCAATCCTTCCACTCTAACCAGCCTTGGAGTACTCTGACTGGTCCCAGGTCACAGCCTCCAAAGGAATCTGTGAACCCATCAGATGGTTATGTGTGGGAATACAAAAGAGGTTTCTGCAAAAAGGATGAGAAAAATGTCTCCATGGAAAAGAAAATTTTCTTTATTATTATAGGACTTAAACTGTAACAAGATTCTAGTTATGAGAAAAACTGTCTATTGCTAAATACAGTGAGTACTGCAGTAGATTGGTGGGGATTGTGAATATCTCTGAAAGAGGCTTAAGTAACAGTGTTGTTCCATGTAGTTTGCAAACTCTGGAAAGTTAGGTCAGA